AGTCAAGCATCGGGCATCGGGCATCAGGCATCGGGCATCGGGCATCGGGCAGTCAGCGTCAATGTCAGCGTCAGCTCGTTGCCGCATTTCTTTACGCTCGCACTGTAATTTGAACGGTTTGTTGATTTTATGTTTGTATTCGTGGCGTTCGTGAAACGATCTCACTTTTACGCCATAAAAAAAAAATTTTATTCGCAGTTGGAAGTTTTCGCTTTCAATAGAATTGTCTAAGCGCAAAATTGTTGACTTTTGTTACTTTGTGCTATTTATTAAACTTTATTATCGTCTCTACGCTTCATTTGTGGCTTCTTTAGCATTGTTTTTTTTTTGTATGCTTTTCGAAAATTACACAGCATTAAGATTGAAAAGTATTGTGATATTGAAAGTAGACAATTAATATTCGTATTTTTTCTCGTATTCATTCATTTGATTTATTAGTTGTTGTTGCTGCTATTTGTAACATCTCAAGTGAGTGCGTCAAGTGTGTGCATAGGTGTGTGTGTGTTAAGTGGGTGAATATGTTTGTAATTTAACATTGTTGTATTTCTCATTCACATTGTGCGTTGTTGTTTGTGTGAAAGTGACTTTTGCACTTACACTTTTTCATGCGAGCGTAGAGGCAGAGCTTCAAAAAAGATTTAATGAATTTTTTAGCGATTTTTATTTTAGCAGTTTTTATTGCCTTCAGCGTTGATTTTTTGTAGTTTCTAAATTTAAATATTTTATGTGTATAAGTAGAATTGATAGTTATTTAATTTTGTGAAAAGTTTCAAAACCGAATATTTTGCATGGGAAAAAAATGTTTTTTTTTTTTTAAACCTTTTATGAGTACCAGAAGGGGAAGAGTTGGACCCAATTAAATAAAACTTACAATGTTGTGATAAGAATGACGAGTTGAGTTGATTTAGCCATTTCTGTCTGTCAGTTTGTATCTCTATTTGAAAAAAGGCTTCAGCTTTTGAGATATTTCTACGAACATTGGTAAGCAAAACTACTTTTTTACACTGTAAAACTGACAACATTTCGGAACCGGACAGATCGAACAACAACTAAGTAGAGCTACTGTTTTCAATAGACTTTTTTTAGCTTGACACGCATGAGTCGTGTCAAGCTGTCCCATTATTTGTATTCAGTATTGTTTGCAATTTCGTTATGGAAGACTGACGCCTGTACAACGTTTACAAATGAAACGAATATTCATGTTCTATAAAAAATGTGTCTCTCGCGCTTCGCTCATCTTATGGTCAACATAATCGGCCTACTGAGCATACTGTGCGGAACACCATCCCCCAGCTTGAGACCCAGTTTACGTTATTGGATAATATTCGACCGAATAGACCCTGTCAAGCACACATAAAACGACCATAGCTGAGAGTGTACGCAAAGAACATGGACAGTCGATTCCGCACATCACATTTCACATCAACCCGGACTGACGTATGGAACGACTTGGCACGTTTTATGTCGAGATCTGAAATTGTAAAAATACAAAATATAGTTTCTGCAAGAACTAAGGCGGCTCGACCTTGCCAAGTGACATCGCTTCGCTCTTGGGGCTTTTGAAAAGTTCTAAGAAGAGTCAAATTCCATTTAGTGATAGACTCCTTTCTAGCTCAATGGGTATGTAAACCGCGACTATTTTTTTAGCCGAGTTCCTCCTCGAAACTTGGTGTACTCCTTAATGTTTCTCCAATAAATAGATGGACCAACAATTTATACTAAGCCACCTTCGAACGGCCGGTAGAATATTGTGGGTATCATTTTATTTCATTTCAATAAAACACTAGAAGGAATTGAAAAACTAGCTTCTGAAATTTTTAATACTGGCTTAAACAGGACTCGAACCCATGACGCTCCGCATGGTAGCACTCACTGCAAATCTCTCTACACTTAACTTAATATTGATATAAATTATATAGAAATGTACAAAACATACATTTATCCATGTATAGGACTACTCATTTCGTGGTTTCAAAGCACAAGGCTGTTTTTTGACATCTGTCAAACTTAACCGTAAACCAAACATGTTTAGTTTTAGGCCTTTACGAAAATCCTCAAATAGCAAAAAAAAAAAAAACACTCACTGTCTGGTGCATTTATTGGCCCGGAGATGTGATTGGACCTGATTTATTGAAAGCGAGAAAGGTAAGAACTGTCAATTCGGAGTATTTTGGTCGTATGATAACCGACATTCTTTGGCCTGCAATTGAGGAACCCGACTTGGTCAATATGTGTCTTCAACAAGGTGCTTCCACATGTCACAGAACACGAGCAAATATGGCTTTATTGGGTGAGAAACTTACCGGCTGCGTAATCTCTCGTCTTGACAATGGCAATTGGCCACCGAGATCGTGCGATTCGACACGGTTAAAGTTTTTCTTTGTAAGGCTACGTAGAGACCCGTGTTTATATGGGAAAACTTTTAACTCTTGAGCACTTGAAAACTAAAATTCATCAATTTGTGGCTGTGATACCGTTCCATAAGTGTCAAAAAGTGATCGAAAATGAACTCAAACGAATCGATGGTTTTATCAGTATGCATACGAGTCGAGATGATAAAACCATCAGTAAACGAGCATATAGGAGTCGCAGTCCTCCGAATGCATAAATTTTCTTCTTTATTTCCTAGAATATATATATTTGTACAATAGTAAGCTTTGCTAATTTTTTTTTCTGGTTATTATTTGGTGAGTTTTTTTTTGCTACTGTACATTCGGTCCCTGCGAGGCGTCTGCAGCCGTTCGTGATATGGTGTATTGTTTCTTGGTAAGGTTAGCAACTGCGTCATCTGTATTCGGTTGAGTATGGGTCTCGTAACATGTAACTTTGACTAATAGATATTCTTCTGCTTCAGGGTAGAGTGCTACCCTTTCTAGCCATGCCTATGATAAAGTTTTAGAGTTTCTAAGGGTTTTTGGAGTCGGTCACTATAATTGATATGATGCCAGATTTTTTAAATTAAAAATGACGAATGCAATAAGGCGGCCAAAACAGTGACCCCAAACTAGATACCAATTTCTATAAATTATTAATAATTTTTAAAAGAGGTACTCTCACATTTCATTGATCCAGCAAAACGGCGATACACTGTTATTATTTTTATGGTCTTAGTTTCTGAAATGCTTGACTTTTTCGTGGATCAAAAATCGTGTCTATATATATGATTGTTGTGAATATATTTTACATATCTTTTATATTTATAAGACCTCTTCCTTCTTCCGTTATTACTAGTGGTAATGACTCTATCATCGAATGGGAATGTATTTGGTTTCCTTTGGTTTGTCAGGTGCTTGCGGGCCATTGATTCTATGTTGCTAAAATCTGTAGTTGTTCATTTTATACTGCCGAATGGGTTGTTAAGAATGGGTATGATGAATATAGTTAAGACCTTAACACTAAACGCATCAAGCGGGGTCAAATGATCTTTGAAAATTGGGTATAAATTCGTACATTTATTATTATTTCTATACATAAAGCTAACTTTAGAAGAGAATTCAACTGAATTGAACAATATATGATATCATGAATTCTTAAATTATCAGATTATTCAATTTCACACTTTCCGTTTTTCTCGTAGCTAATTTTTTCTCGACAAAATTCCTTGCCTACCTTACGTACCATGGAGGGTCCTTTAACCACATACGAAGCTTATGTAGTTCTAAATTCAGATACGCTTCACAAGTGACTCTTCCTAGCAATTGCAATAAACTATAGTTTTAGTTACATTTTGGCAATTTCTGTCACATTCAATTGGAGTGCAAGAAATAAGTGAAGTGAATTCAGGTGAAAAACATTCAATTTCTGGAGATGATCAAGTCGAAAGTCAAAGTGATTTTTGAGATAATGAGGAAACTCAGGGTGTTAATATGGTTCCCGATACGATTAAAGCCCTGATATGTGGTCATCATCAACTTCATTTGGCTGGTTAACTGTTGAGTAATTTTCCTTACGGGTGTTTGGGAGAAGCTCATAACCTTAATTTTTTTAAGATTTAGAAGCACCACAATTATTTCACAGTATTCTACTTTACTGTTTTGGTATGTTTGTAGCGAATTCATAAATATTTTTGAGACTTCTTAAGTGTGCTCTATTTTTATTGTGTATGCCATAATTTTCCCTTAGTACACTATAGCTGATGAGGCCATGTATTTTGCTAAGGAGCCAGTACAGGAAATTACAAAAGTCACTCAAAACAGTACGAGAGATCTGGTTGTCTGATGAGGGTAAAATTGAACGCACTAGTGACATACAAAATCCCTGATATTATCTGCAATAGCAACAAAGAGAAGTACCATTTCTTGCTTACACGTTCACGTGAGGACTGCAGAAACATTCTTGGCTGAATTAGTAGCAGCGAATCAAGAAGAAACTGCAAGGAGAAAGGTATAAGTGAGTCATTAGAATTCCTTCCCTGTTTCTGTCCAGACTTATGTAGCTAGAATTTCACAACTTCGCAGTTCACAGGACTGGAGCAGTCTTCAAAATTGAATATTAGGGTCGCGGTAAAACGGAGCTCCATCTGGCACTGCAACGAACAAACGAGTTCAGCGCATCAGCCGGCCGGTGTAAAGTAACCAACGTTGCCCTCACCTTCACTACAGCGAAGGTAATTAATTTTTTAGGCTTAGCGAATTAGTTTATTCCCATAAAAATATCAATTTTCACCTCTTAATATTGACGTGAAGGTTCATTGAATAAATTGAACTCAAACCTAAACTTCAGCTTCCTGTCAACGGATACAATATTTTGTGTTGAGCACAAATTAATTGAAAAAAAAAAAATTATAATATTTTCTCTGTATAAAAAAAATATATTTTATTCAATCATAATCATAATATTATGATTGCCAATAACAAAAATAATACATATTTACATTTTAATCTATACCATAACTAATGAAATCTTTCCCACAATAATATCATATAAAAGCCTTAATACATAGTATACTCATATTTATGGACTTTTTTTAATATTCTTTTACTTTCATTTTTCTTTTACAGTTATAGTCGAAGACTATAAAATCAGTCAACAAAACGGCAATAGCAAAATAAATAAAAAAAAAGGCAATAACGTAAAAACAGTAGCAACAATAAAAAGCGGTACAATACCAATCAAATCAAAAGCATAGAGCTAGCTAGAACAACAACAACACCAACAACAATCACCACACAAGCAATATGAGAAAGATGCGGATCAAAAAGATTTTATTGACTGTCGTCGTGTTTTTCCTTTCACTGCAGGTAAGTGTCAAGCAAAAAATTAATATGTGAGTGCTTTATGTACAATAGTATGTGTGTGGAGCTCAGCTGATCGCACAGGCACCAGTTTGACGCTCAGTCAAATAGATTGACATTCAATCAATCCAAATGTCCGTCAAAGGTGCTTGCTCATACAGATGTATTTATATCTTTGGTCATATGTGGCTGACAGTGTGAATTATTATTACTATAATTTTTTTTTCTACTTTCGTGAGCGTAAAAAATATTTATGTACGATATGTCTCTCCTTTTATTGTCTAATTGTATATTTCTTGTGCATTTGTCACTATCGACTACACCTTTTGGCGCTGAGCTTGTGCATGTCCGAGCATTGCCCTGTGGACGTGCTGCAGTAATCGTGCTGCGTGGTGAAAGGTGTGTGTGGTGGATGTGTTTTTTGGTGGGAAAATGAAATGACGAAAAAAGTTGCTAAACCGTGTTTGATGTTAAAAATTCATTTTTTTATTATTGGAACTTCAAAACCAATCGAACTGTTCTTCTTTAAGGATTTATTTTATACTTTTTAAAATTTTCGGCGGAATATCGCAGTGAAAAAAAATATTGATTATAAATCCAAAAGCCAAATGATTACTATTTAACTGTAGAGCTGTCGTTGTTTGATTCCGCTGATTTTAAACACCGTTGAGATTCTTTCCGAGTCATCGAAGCAAATTACTTAACAATTTAGCTGCTCGAATTGACTTTATTGCTTTATAGCTACTTCATTTAAATAATTTAGATAAAGGTCCTCTTCTGAGTAGAAATTTCCTTTATTTTTCATATATTTTTAATGTGATGGAACCCTGAACATAATCGTAGATGATTCGCCGACTCACTTTGGTTCGCCTCCAATCGGATGTTTGTTGGCCACTCGGAGGAAATTTAGTCCCAGGTGAATGGCAGTCAAAAACTTTCTTTACTCACGAAAGACAGTCGAACAGGTTTTTACTCGTCTAGCACCCCTGCTCTCAAATAGCATTCAGTAGCAACTCGCTATAAGGGAACTATGAATGGCAACTCAAAGTATCTACGTACCGCCGCTGCGGAAACTATTGGTTTTCGTCAGTGTCAGCAAAAGAGCTATTACGATGAGCAACGTTAAGCTGCAGTGGAGAGAGAACAGACTGCCTACCCCACAACTTTACAATAGACCACAACACGGTAGGATGTTACCGGAAATTGAAGAAAAAAGTAAGACGCATGCGAAGATGCAGCGACTAGTAGAAAGTTTCGAAAACTCGAACACAGTCAGCAATGTGGAAAACTGGCCTCTTAAAAACAACAAAGCAAACCAATGGATTGTCGGCCGAGTTATTCAAATACGGCAACGAAGAACTCAAAAGCTGTCAGCTATATCAGCTTTTTTTGCATAATATGGATGGATGAAATCATGCCCCAGGACTGCAATCTAAGTGTGCTCTGTCCATTCCACAAGGGGAACACCACAATAGGGTAAACTTCCTCAATATCAACGAACTGATTGTAGTAGTACTAGAAGTAGTAGTATTAGTAGTAGTAGTAGTACTAGAAGTAGTAGTATTAGTAGTAGTAGTAGTAGTAGTAGTAGTAGTAGTAGCAGAAGTTGTAGTAGTAGTAGCAGTAGCAGTAGTAATAGTAGTAATAGTAGTAGTAGTAGTAGTAGTAGTAGTAACAGTAGTAGTAGTAGTAGTAACAGTAGTAGTAGTAGTAGTAGTAGTAGTAGTAGTAGTAGTAGTAGTAGTAGTAGTAATAGTAGTGGTAGTAGCAGAAGAAGTAGTAGTAGTAGTAGTAGTAGTAATAGTAGTAGTAGTAGTAGTAGTACAAAAAGTACTTTTATTATTATTAGTAGTAGTAGTAGTGGTAGCAGAAGTAGTAGTAGTAGTAGCAGTAGTAGTAGTAGTAGTAGTAGTAGTAGTAGTAGTAGTAGTAGTAGTAGTAGTAGTAGTAGAAGTAGTAGTAGTAGTAGTAACAGTAGTAGTAGTAGTAGTAACAGTAGTGGTAGTAGTAGTAGTAGTAGTAGTAGTAGTAGTAGTAGTAGTGGTAGTAGTAGTAGTAATAGTAGTGGTAGTAGCAGAAGTAGTAGTAGTAGTGGTAGTAGTGGTAGTAGTAGTAGTAATAGTAGTAGTAGTAGTAGTATAAAAAGTACTTTTATTATTATTAGTAGTAGTAGTAGTAGTATCAGAAGTAGTAGTAGTAGGAGCAGTAGTAGTAGTAGTAGTAGTAGTAATAATAATAAAAATAATAATAATAAAAGTAGTAGTAATAAAAGTAGTAATAATAATAGTAGGAGTAGTAGTAGTAGTAGTAGTAGTAGTAGCAGTAGTAGTAGTAGCAGTAGTAGTAGTAGTAGTAGTAGCAGTAGCAGTAGAAGTAGTGGTAGTATTTGCAGCGATGGGGATATTTTTCCGAGAATTTCTCCGATGCATTTTTCATAATAATGAATTGAAAGTGTTTGACCTTCAAAGTAAAAAATTTTGCCGATTTGCTAACCATTCGTCGCTATCCTATTAACAGCATCAGAATAATCACATCACTTCCCTACTCACCTGGCGCACTGAAAGTAGGAAAAACAAAAGCAGAAGATAAAAAAAAAATAAAGAAAAATACAAGTGCGAGGAAAAAGCGATGCCAATAAAAATTAATGAGAAATGCTGGCGGTTGCAGACAACAAACAAACAAAAAAACCCAACAACCCCAAAAAAAGAAAAATACCAACAAACAACAAGTGATTTGCATATTCAAAAATGCGCACAAGAGGAAAAGTGAAGCAATAAAGGAAAGCCACTAAAACGAGGCAGCGACGTCAGCGGAACAGAGTGCAGCAGAGCAACCGCAGCAAGCTAGCCACAGACAAGGCGGCGGCGGCGGCGGCTGCGACGCTGTTCACATTGCTCGCTCTGAGTTCGATTTGGTTTGGTTCGGATTCTTCCTGCTGACTCTCATTTGCCTAACGGCAGCTTGAATGCGAAACCAACGAAATTCAAGTTTTTTGTTGTTATTGTTGATGTTACTACTCCTTAAACTGATAGACAGTTATGCACAAAACGATGATGACGGCAATGGAAATACAAAAAAAGAAACAATAACAAAAAAAAAAACCGTTAGCCAACCACAAAAATGCGGCATACTGCTGACCTCTAATGCGCTGCGCAGCGTCGCAAAAGATAAAATTTGTGAATAAATGGCATGAATGTGTAAAACAAAGAAGGCCATATACAAATGTATGTATGTACATATGTAGGTATGTATGTAAGTATGTGAAAATAAATGTGTAAAAATTTGCAAGAAATGCAAAATTGGCTAAAATATATATTTATTGTATGTACACGTCTTTGTATGCATGTATATATGTGTGTGTGTGTATGTGTAAATTCCAGGCAGGTTAGCAAACCAGCGCAGCAGACAGCTGCCAAGTGCCGAAAGTAAGTCGTCATATCGAAGATGGCACACGTTAACGGTATGCAGGGGCAACGGCCGCTCCAGTGGTGGACTATTGTGCCGACCTGCAATCAGTCAACAACTAGAATCGGGAGAAAGTGCATGAAATTGCGCCAAGAACGTGATACAACAATGCAGTGAGCGAGTACTATGTAGTACGTCGAAACCACCGCTATGCTGTCTGTTTTGCGCCAACAAATATCTTCCGCGCATATTTGGCGTATTAACGCTTGAGACGAACTGCAATATCCGCAGCTGCAGCAGCAGTAGCAGCAGCGACGACGAAAACAATAATAACAACGATAATAATGCAAGGAAAAGCGAAAATAATAATGAGGCTGCCCAGAAAAATCCGCAACGCGTCAAGGGAATACACGTGCAGGGCAGTAACATATATACATACATCCATAGTTGTGTACACACACAACCGCATCATCCTATAGGCACTTGAGTCGAGTTGCCGAGGTCAAAAGCCAGTCAAAGCCGCGCAAAATGCTGCAAACTGTGCTGGCTGGTTGTGGAGTCAGCTACAGGCATCGTGGCTTGTGAAAAGGAAGAGTGTTTATTGATTGTTTGTGTTGTATGTGTTGTTGGCGCATCTGCCACACAGGGTTTTCGCTTTCAGCTTACATTGCACGTCATAGGAAAAGTGAAATTTCCTGCCTTAATTGCTATGAATCGACAGCCATGGCGACGAAAGCGGCGGCAACAGCAGCAGCAGCGGTCGCAGAAGGAGCAGTGGCAATGTCAACCGAACAAACGAATGCAGTTTGTTGGCTGTCTGCACTGGGAAAAGGGTTTTGGTGATTGCTACAGCAAGAGCTACAGTAACAACAATGTGGGAAAATCATAAAGAAATGTGAAAAAATAATGCAAATGTCAAAATGTCTGATTTAACGGTTAAATGCATCACGAATTTTGCACGCTTCGAACCAATGTTATTGTTGCTGCTGTTGCTTCTACTGCTGTCGCTGCAGTTGCTATGTTGTTCCATTTGTTCATATGAAATGAGCGCATTTCACATTACCCAAACGATGTTACGGTTGATAAGAGCATGAAGATCCCATTAAAGTGCGGCGCATGAATGACATTGTGCGGAGAGGGAGCACTTACGATTTTCCCGTTACGTATATGTATGTACGTTTACCTGATGTGTGGGAGCCCATTAAGCGCTTAATTGTTGTCAGTATTCGGTAAAGATGGAAGGAAAGATTAAATTTATTTTAATAGACATTTATAGGAGCTCAATCATAATCCGAACCCGACATCTCCAGCAAGTCAAACTTGATCCGAACGTGTTATTTTAAGTAATGGAGATACACTTTACAAGTCGATGGTTATTCTTGAGGTATTTGGGCTTTGAGTTTGATTGTTGCTGGGAAGAGCAGTTCAAAAGAGCAAGGGATTTCCTACGCTTAAGCCACCAGTGGAATATAAAATACAACAAAGAGCACCGGAGGGTGTTGCTTTCTACTGGCTTTTGTTTAATTTCTATATTTGGAAGTACTCTTAAATACCAGAGGTGTTTCCCTAATGTCTCCTGTCGATCACTGTTGGATATTGGC